CCTCCCCGGGCAAAATCGACGTTCCGGACGCGTTGGCGCAGTCCATTTCGTCATCCGGGGTCGCTCAGACGACATCGTCGACAATCGGGTCAAAAACACGTCAAAATTCAAATTTCATAACATTTCAACCTGCGATCGATCGTCTCCAAAATATATTCGAGTCCTCGATAGATAACGGTGCAAGCGGTGCGAATTGTAGTGATCGGACGTGTCGGCTCTCCGAATTGCGAAGTTTGTGCGCGCGAGAATGCAAATTGTGCAAAAAGTCACCCTAAGGCTTAAAGATCCTATCGAGACTCATTTTGGGTTCCCTCATGTTGGTTTCACCCTTCTAAACGCTAGAAGTCGATACCACACACGCGAAACTCCAAAAGGGTACAGAAGTATGTTGAATTTCTAAAATGAGGTGGGTCCCATTTTTAAGGTTCTAGGATAGTCAAAGGGAGATTCGGCTAGCTAGATCCTAAACCCTAAGAGAAAGACTAGACCTCACTAAAAATGAGGTCAACACCCTCGACCTCCCCTAATATTGAATGCAAAAGCATCATGGCATATCCTCCTCTTCACTAGAATCATCCAACTGAAAAGGGTTCCGATTTTCCTCCCTCTCTCCTCTTTGAAACTCACTATCACGATCGACGGTGATCTCTCCATAGGTCCCTTCATCAATTTCAGTAAGTCTTTCATCAAGTCGGAGGATTTCCGGCTGCATCTCTTCCGTAGTAAGTTCCAGACCAGCTTCCAGCACTTGTCTCCTCAGTTGCATAGCTAAGCATTGGGTTTGGGAGGTGAAAGAGAGTGTATGGGGCTGATTTAGGGTTGCTGATATTAAAATTATGCAAGGAGAAATTAGGTTTAGGTTAATAGTTGGGTGTGAATTAGTGGGTTTAGGTCAATCTATGATAGAACTAGGGTTAGGCTAACTCTGATACCAAATGATACCGAAATTCAACAAACACGCAATAGAAAACAAATATTATTACTCAATCCAATGTCTAAAATTACAATAAACAATAGAGAAATCTAAAATTGCAACAAAACAACATAACACTAGAATTAGTTTTAAATCTAGGGCATAGGTGGTGTCCATTCGAGTTTGGACCTCCAGAGTGGTGGCAAGGGTGGCTAGCAAGCTGAAAACAATCGTAGAATGGTTTGTTTTGGATGGCAGCAGCAAGGAGGAAGGGCTTCAGTAAAGTGACAGGGAATGGTGCAGGAGAGAGTGGGAGAAGCGTGGAAGGGTATACACACCACTTAGAGATAAGATACAGCCAAAGAACCACTTGAAACCCTAGGATACAGCCTAGAAAGGGAAAAGAAGAAGCCGACAGTTGTCCCAAAGCAAATCACAAAAAAAGCAAACCCCAAACATCAAAGAAATACCTAAATAGACTTATTATTATTAGGAGTGTGCCTCACTCCAATTGGATGGCAACCCTAGGCATGGACAAGGCTAACCGTCCCTCCCTCAACCAAACCAAACCAATCTAGGTTCCCCCCAGCCCCCACGTCAAATAACTGTAGATTTCCCCAAAAGCAGGGAAGTCTTTCACACTCGGAACATTGTTCCCTTCGGCCCAATTTCTTTCATTTTTTATTTCTTTCCCATTTCTCTACTTCTAATTAGGTTAATTTCTATAAGGGAAGGGAACTATTTTAATCCTATTTTTTCATACTTGTAACTTTAGCTACGTTATTTGGAGATGTTTTCTATTGGTTTTCACTATTTGAGTGTTGTATCCTTGGATTTAATTCAAGTGATGTGTCTATAATCTGATAAAATCGAGATATTGACCTCTCTTGGAAGTCTGAAACCCTCCTTCGCCATCAAACATGTTGATTATTGTTGTTTGGCAAAGAAAACTGCTATTTATAGCAGAAAAATCTGTTGTGTTCCGATGTCAACCTGTTGTTGTTCACGCCCGATTTCAGTTAACATCTCACCTCACTCCCGTTATTTATACACCTTACCTATCTCATTCTTGTATTGTCCAACACAATCTAGGAGCCCTAGAACGGTGCAGTTAGATTTTGATTGATGCAAAAAAAAAAAAAAATGATTCTCTGTATGGTTTCGGCTCCCTTAAAGCCGTGTATGAGCTTTCTTCTCATCCCATCTTCTTTACTTTTCTTCAACAATTCAAGACATCAACAAATCATCTGTCGCATATCTATGCATCACCTTTATTTTGTTGCATTCTTCAACCATTGAATGCTCCGGAAAATCATATGTTACATCTCTTTTTTTTTTTTTGTTGCTTTTAAAATAATGCAACTAAAATATTTAGAAAACATTGCATCTTTCATGTGATGCATATTGCTATCATCATCCAGAAGCCATATCTGTTCAGAATTATTGTAGAATAAAACATCAGCAATCACTGCTTCTGCTTGAGCCATTTTCATTGTAGATGAGCTTGAAAGCCCAGATTTTCATGGCAAGCTTGTTCACCTCCTTAAGCTCATGCAAATAACACACTTTTTTAATATGTGAAAAGACGGACAAGAGAAGAATGCAACCTTATCATAGAAACAAACACGTGAACACCATTGTTCTGGAAAATTAACAAAGTAATTTTTTTTTAATTATAAAAGAATTTATATGTAAAGAAAATAAAATAAAGTACTTAATTTATAGAATTGATGGATGAGGATAGATTAGAAATCTAAAATTTTAAAATAAATTCATACCTAACTAAACGAAAAAAAAAAAAGAATCCTTTGTAGATCTACTATTTACCAAAATGTAAAGTAAGAGACAAGTATACTTATTGTAGAGATTATGTGCGAGTGTTTGGGTTTTAGGTAGAAACTTGACACATACCTTGTATACAAGTGAAAGAGATATCCCAGCAATAAACAGAAAAAATGGTGTCACAAAATCAGCCAATCGTACACCATGCCATGGAGAATGAGCAACAACAGGAAAAACAGGACCAGCATAATCGACAAAGATCATAAGCTGAAATTGGAATATGGAACTCAAGTTAGAGAACAAAATTTTGAGCTCGCGTGTGTCCAAGTAGTACAAAAAATCTCAAATTCAAACAGACCTTAACAAAAACATTTATTCCAAAATAAAGCAAAATTTGATCACAGAATTGGCATTCGCAACAGCAACATATTACAAAATTTCTAATAACACAATATTTAAATTAAACAGAAGAGCTGCTGATGGGTGGTGAGGACCCAAAATGACCATCGTGTAAATTTTTTTTTGTAGCAGTTGTCGTTATATTTTTCCAGTCATTGAGAGGTCACTTCCACTATAATGACTGCCTACGTGAGATAGTGTATTAGGTTTTACTATGGGCTATACTTGATCTTGAATGTACGCAGACTTCACCATTGTTGAAGGATTTCCTGCACTTAAAAGATGCCTCCTCTTTCAATTTACACAGCGTGTTTCATATGAGATTCATGTAATCTATTGCACACAGCATTAAAAAAGAAATATGATAACATGTGGTTACAAAAATCAAAACATAAATCTGAAATCATAATTGAATGTCTAATTTGAAAAAATAAAGTGTGAAGATTCTCCCATCATTACTGAAATAATAATAAAGATACATGCATAATACATGCGAAAACAATCATGTACCTTTAAACTATCAAAAAAGAACATGCATGAATACTTATATAAAAAACAAATAATTAGGTGGGGCATTTAGATGAATACTAGTGCAAACAAAAGCGAAAAATTAAGTGACTGCACAGACAACCTAATACATTTTTAGGGCACCTAGAAGATGTGAAGGAATACAAGAAAGAGGTAGGTAGGTTGTAGGAAGAGTGAAAAAAATGAGAGGACGGATGCCGACCGAAATCAAGAGAGAACAACAGAATGATAGCAGACTGGAAGCGGAAAATTGTATTTTTTGTAGTCAAACAGCAGTAGGCAGCAAATTGGCAACTGAAAGAAGTCTTCGAAGGTCCGGTAGAGATCATCACTTTGATCCTATCAGGCTACAGAAATATCACATAAAAAAAATCAAAAGATACAGCACTCTGATAGAGAAAACCAGGAGAAAAAATCTCGAAATAACCACAATGCGAAAATTCTCCAAAACCAAAAAATAACAACATCTAAATAGTTCCCTAAAATCAAATAACCTACATAGAAAGAAAACAAAATAAGAAAGAAATCAAAAAGAAAAAAGTATGCTGAAATAGAAGGAAAACAGGCGGCATTGCGTCAACATCCCCTGTAGTCCTGCAGTCGCATAATTGATCCGCGATCGGCAAGATCTGCAACTTGCAAAATCCTGCTTATAGCGTCCACGTCATTCTCCCCGGGAAGGCTTTAGGAATATATAGCTTCCGCTTATAGCGTCCGCTTCCGGGGTAGGAAGTGTTTTGCCTCGTCATTGGAAGCCTCTAGAATTGATCTATCACCACCATAACAAACATTTCTGAGATATCCCAACTGCAAGATTTATGCTCACATCCATTCCCTACAACTCTAAAACATACACATCATTCCAAAGACTTTCCTCATAAAATAGGTAGCAATGATTTTTTTGCACAATCAGAACTGAAACAGCAAATAGACGTATATATTTACAAACCAAACTCTGAGCAATTAAATATATAACATGTTTCTCCCACTCATACTCGGTTGGGTGCATCTAATAAACAAGTCTATCAGGAGGAACCGACCCTGGGATGAAATATAAAGCATGATAGATCACTCACAATAGCAATGAGTCAGGATGTCTAGCAACTCCTTCAACAAACGTTGATCCTTTCTTAGTATCGACTCTTCAAACTCACTAATTTCTAGAATAACCAATATTAGTCCTGTTAGAATAACCAATATTAGCCCAGTTGGAAGCTCTGTCATGGGCTCAATTGAAACCACCAGCATCTCTTCCTCATAGGATGGAAGTCGAGATCCTCTCTGACATCTTCATCCTTTCATGTGTCACTGTCAATTTCTTCAACTATTCCATATTCCGTGAAAGAGATCATTCTCTTGTTTAGGTAATCTAATGTACTGTGCCCAAAACCGTGGCATTTGAAGCACTTCCTGAATGAGACGGATATGAGAGTGATGGTTGGCTCCACTTATTCTCCACTTTGAACTAGTTTTTGCTTGAGTGGCATTTCGTTGGGTGTACTCTTGTTGTTTGAACCTAAAATTAAACCCTGGCTATAAAGTGTGGCAGTCAACCAATGAATTTGTTTCTCCACCTTTGAAACTCGGATCAGAACATCAAGTAATTTCCAATGGGGTTGTAACTATAACACATTGTCAATTCTCTTAGATATGGAGCTAGGGTGTTCTCCTCAGGCTCCACTAGCCTACACTTCAACATAAACTGATCAAACTTAGTGGTGTATTCTACCAAGAGATCGTACTATTATAAATGATAAAATCTCAAAAATATATCATGTCTGTAATGTGCTGCAAGTACTTGTGTTGCATCTCTGAATTCATCTTGAACCAGATAGTAATTTTTTTATTCTTTTTTCATTGTTGAAGATTCTTAAAGTTCTCTTACCATAAAGAAACATTTTTCTGTATCTTAGGGGTGGCTAACTTGACCCTTTTGTTAGGTGGAAAATCCTTATACTCAAAAACACATTTGAATCAATGCGACCATCAAAATTCAGTAAGTCAATCTTCACTCCAACATCGTCGCTTCTCCTCTGAAATTCCATGTCAAATTATCACGATGTCGGTTCTTCATTACTGAAAACTACCCTATGAAAGAGATATACTTCCTCCTCTTGATTTGTGAAATCATCGTTGTGGCTACGGATGACCTCATTGAATTTGTCTCCTCTCAAAGGTAGCAAGCCTCTCTTATAGTTAGATAATTCTCCACTGCATATCCTCCATGAAAATTCTTGGGCACCTAACTGAAAGTTTCTCCTCGGCTGCATTGTGTTATTTTCTCCTGATCAAGTTTTTAGTGAAGGTAGGATAACAAATCAAAGTTGGTCGGAGGCTTAGGTGTTGGTAGTAGGCGTCCACGTGAATTTTTGGTGAAGGCGGGAAGTTAGATTTTGAAAATTTAAACTTTTGGGGCTAGAAATTACGCTATGAATGATTTGAATATGGTGGAAAATTACTTTTGGAATTTTGGAATGGAATAAGAAAGGCAAAACCCTAAAAATTTTCGGGTTCGTCAGAACCTGATACTGGATGATATCGTTCTAGGACTCCTAAAAGCCGTGAATGAACACAAGAAAGAGACATGTAGGTTGTAGGAAGGGTGGTGGAAGTGAGAGGAGGGATGTCAGCTGAAATTGGGCGTGAACTGCAAAATGACAGCAAACCGGAAGCAGAAAATTGTTGTTTTCTACTATCAAACAGTAGTAGACGGCAAGTTAGACAATGAAAGAGGCTTTCGAACGTCTGAGAGACATCACCACTTTGATCCTATCAGCGACAGACACACTACCTTAAGAAAATCCAAAGTTGTGGCACTTTGATAGAGAAAACTATATATATATATATACAATAGCACAGCCAAAAGTTTCCAAAATTAGAAAACAACAACATATAACTAGTTACCTAATAGCAAATAACCTACTTAGAAAAAAAAGAAATAAAAAAGAAGCAAAAGGAATACAATATGCTAAAATAGATACAAATCAGGCGGCTCTCATGCGGCCTGTAGTCCCGCAATCGCAGAATTGAACCGCAATTAGCGGGACCTGCGACTTGTGGAATCCAGCCTGTAGCATCCCATCCCATAACCATAAACAATTAATAGAGCCAAGTGAAATTGGGCAAAAATTGCAAGACCCAAATAAGTTATCACTATATCAAAACTTTTGTACGTGATCCTTTATCTTCGTAAAGCAAAAGAAGGTATCACTCCATGCGCAAGGTTGAACTTGCCCTAAGAAGATGAAAGGTACAAATAAATAACAAGCAAGTACACTATGGCACCATAAGTGGTGCTAAGGTCAATGTTCAGAGCAGAACAAACCGAAATGGATTGTGTTCCAGAGATAATTAGTATGGATTTTCCAATGTGAACTTTTCTTTATTTTGTGTGCTTATGTAGTGATGAAAGGATTGTGGTTTGAACACTAAATAGATTTTTGGGGTCAATTTGTATTGTTACAAGTTACCGTCAATATTTAAATCTATTGTACATTACTAGTCTAAGTGTAACATGTTAATAACAAGTCAAACATAAAATGGATAGCAGGGAGGGATCAAGATTAGTCCTACATCAATAGCTTTGGTGCATTTGTACAGCATTTTGTTACATTTTCGGGGATACTTTCCTAAATTTACGAGGGAAAGGAATAGTATTCCACCAATTTTACTCTTCAGATTTCTCTCTCTACTGGACTTATTCATCCATCTCTCCATTAAGGGCTGACTTCAAGGAGAAACCAAGCAAATTAAAGGCATTCCATCAAAGAAGAAAAGAGATCGAGCAAGGTTAATGTCGAAGTTCATCAAAATCAAGATAGGAAAAGCAAATATTAATATTAAAAAAAATAGAAAGTTATAACCAATACACTTTAAAGGAAATATGCAACAACACGACATTCGGAAATCTAAAATAGCAACAAACATGACACCAACAATCAAACTATAGTGGATCTCTGGGTGGTGGTGGTGGTGGTGGTGGCCGTTGGGGGGCTTGGATAGGTGGTAGCATGGAGGTAGGTGGACTGGGCAGTGAAGAAACAGCAGCTAGGGGTGGTTATGGGCGGCAGGAACAGCAGCTGGACTGCGGGGAGGTGGTTTCAGCAGCTGGAACAGTAGCGCAGTGGCACGGAGAATGATTTTGGGTGGCTAGAACAGCAATGGCAGTGCAGGGGAAGTGCTAGAATAATAGCTAGGCTGCAAGGATATGATTCAGGTGGCTGGAACAGCAATAGACAGCAAGGAAAATGGCTTACAGAACTGCAGCAGCGAGGAAGAAGTCTGTGAGAAGGTGAAGGAAGGTGTTGGGATGGTAGAGCAGGTTGGCAACAAGGATAGCAAGTGGCTGGCTGCTGGAAGACGAGAAAATTGCAGTGAGAACAGCCAAGAGGGTTGTTTCTGGAATGTTGCAGCAGGGAAGGCAGCAGCGATGGCAAAGGGAAGGACACATGGAGAGGGTTGCGAAGGATAGTCACCACCTCGAGCGCGATATACTGCCAGAGCACCACTCATCCATCGGATACAGCCCTCAAAGGAAAATCTGAGACGCCGACAACTGTTCCAAATAAAACACACCAAAAACAAACCGTAGAACATCAAAAACAAAAATATATAATAATAACGTAGCAAGGAGTGGCCCAAGAGGGCCACCCAAATCCACAACAACAACAAAACCTGGACCGGTTCAGTCCAAACGTGAAAACTGAAGCCCGCATGGTCACATAAGGTTTTTGTGTTTGGTCCCTATGCACAAGATCACGGAAGGCGTCCCTAAACGAAGCACTCTCGCGTTCAAGGATGCCATCAATAAGATTTTATCATCAAAATGGTTCAAACGTCCATCTACACAATTCCATATTGCCAAATTGCATAATGAATCAAACCCCTAATCACCCATATTCATCTCTTACCATTACAAACCTCACACCATCAAATCACACAAAAAAGGAGGAGAAAAACATAACAAAATAAACCTCTAACTACAACCCTAGTCACTAGCCATAAGAAGTTGTTTATCTATTTGCATTAGATGATTGGCGCCAACAAGACTAAATTATGTAGGAAGAATCGATTAAGCCCATAATATGCATTACAAACACAAAAACTCCCATGTGAAGATACAAATTCCCATTATTTACTTTGGAACAAATGTTAACCGACTTAGAGTCTAAGATTGAAAAAGTATTATGGCTTTGTTTTAAATAAATGTTCCACATTACTATAAGCCGTATATATCATATACATTGCTAAGGGGTATCAAGAAAAGCATGTCCTACAATGATTAGTCAAAATATTGCCTAAAAGCACTTGAAGTAGTTACGGGATCATACAACTATAATGCATATGAGTTTCACGATCATGCATATGATCATTGTTCTTACTCTTATTAATAAGATAAGTACAATAGATCATATCATGAAGGTTTTTCTAATAACAATGAGTCATATTCCAACCATGACTACCATTTTAATCATCAACAACGTCATATTTTCAAGTATCTCACAAAGAAAATAATCGTTAAGGCATCTCAATATTAATACATTTGATCATGTCAACATTATTAAGTTTTCAAGTGTCCCCTGAAGAAAATGATTATCATTATTAGTATAAATCCTGTTATGGATATGCAGATGATCGTCCCATCTTTCCCCGTATCATATAATAATGATCGATCTTATAATACACCAAATTCTTGAAATCCAAAGGATTTAAAAAGTGTGTTGACATTGAAAAAATAGGAGAAAAATCTTCCTAGTAAGTTGGATTTGTGAATATATGGAGATATTTGAGTTTTGCACATAAGTTCGATGATGATGATCAATCATAAGTAATCAAGCTTTTCACGTAGCCTTAACCCACAATTATGCCTAAGATTATTCCAAAGCTCAAATCAAAGACAATGCCCAAGCCTATTGGTGAGATTACGATTAAAATACCTTCTATTACTACAAGTAGTGAGATGAAGAAATTGGTTGATCCACATATTATTCATATTCTTGCAAGTTTCTTCTCCAAATAAAGTTCTTACATGGATTTCACAATTATTTTTTACTTCCTCTTAAAAGGCACAACTTGAGTCTATGTCATCATTGTTACCAATACAAAACGATTATGAGACATTCTATGGTATGGTTTTTGAAAGATGCATAATGCATGGCAACATCTAAAGTCAAAGCCTCCAATTTCTATTTCACATGTACAAACTGAAGATTTAAGAGATGTTAAGGAAATAGTACCACCGTCTAATCCAACATGGATACTAGACTTCCAAAAAAGGGATTCCGCATAACTCTTCAACAAAAGAATTTGATCAACCTAAGAAAAATGATATACTAAAAGATAGGCTTCAGAATGACTCTATCCATTTCTATACTTGTCTAGCATTAAATTTGTTTTCGGACGCAATGGAGAAAAAAGAATTCATGTAGCCGACCCCACATAGTGGGATTAAGGCTTTGTTGTTGTATCTTTGTTTTAAATTAAATGATGGGTTTTAAGAACATATCTAGACTTAAGTTTTTTTTTTTTTAAGGAATGGTCAGAGGCTATTATACGAGTCATGGTCATTCCTCATGCGCCTAAGAATTCGAGTACCACACCCTACATTCGAGGGGAATCGAATCCCAGACTAAAGAGAAATTACAACTGATAAGTAGATGTCCGTGGCCAACCAACTGATCTAAGTACGCGACGTATATCTAGACTTAAGTATAAACCAAAATTTTAGACCATATTTCTATAAGAAATAAGTTATGAGGCGTATTTTAATAATAAATTACAAATCAAAAAATGAATTTGAGAAGATTCCTCACTTTGCGCCCCCCCCCCCAAAAAGGCAAAAAAAGGTTTCTACAGGAACCCAATCCTTGTTCTCTAAATCCTTGAGACTCTTAATTCTAAGAAATCCCAATCCCTCTCTCATGGTCTTCTCCTCTTTGTCAGTTTCTATTCAAACTTCCTCTCCATTTTTCTCCTTCCACGAGCTAAACTCATCCCTCTCTCAATTAAGGTTTAAATCCAAGGAAAAATCCAACAAATCAAAGAAATTCAATCAAGGAAAAAGAGCAAGACCAAACATTTTGATAATCAGCAAAAGCTCATCATCAAATTTTTACAACATAGGGAAATTCATATGTAACAAGCTAACTAAATTTTGTTATGATAAGAAAACTATTTTTATATTCAGAATATGACAAGTAGAATAATGAATGCGCGTGAAAATAGGCCGGTTGCACATGCAGTAGTGGCTTTGTGCAACAGCTTGATTTTGGCAGTCTTAAAGAGATTGTTGTACTCACCCTCAAAATTAGGTCTATTATACTCCTAATTATCAACGTAGCTTTTGTGGTCTGATAAGCAGGTTTAGGATTGGGTTTGATGTAGGATCGAAGGTCAAATCAATGTAGAATTTAAGTTTGGATTTAGGTTCAAATTTAAATTGGGTTTAGGCCTATTTGATTGTTTGATTTAGTAGTTGAATTTAAGGAAGAATGCATGTAGATGTATAAAGGCTTTGAAGATTTGTTTAATGGTTGATTTATGTATGGTTTTATTTAAACTTGATTTATATTTGATTTATGTAGAATTGAAATGCCTTAGAGCCTCATTACCTCAAGTTAGCTTTAAAGAGCCAATCCCAACCTTAGCTGGCGGACGGCCACCGAGCTGATTGAACAAAAATGATCAAACATAAAAAGGGGGGAAAAACTTCAATTTAATTTTCTGAATAGTGTTTCTGGGTAGATTAAAAACAATAGTAATAATAAATTGATACGCAGGCATAATCATTGCCATGAGACTCAAAAGTAGGCAGTTTAGTTTAACTCCACGACAACCTTCTTAAAATACTTTGAAAACCACATGCAGCCTTTAAGCTTTCATCTTCTCCAATTAATGCATAGTTACAAGTCGGGCGTTGCTTGTGTATAAACTCGATGAAACATGATTTTGCAAGCTTTTTCTTAGCCCGAAAATGCAGATCAAAGATTATCATACACTAAGTTCTCCGGACCATGAGAAATTAACAGTATCCAGCGAAAGGACAGACCAAGAGCCTTAGAGAAGCGAGAATAGAGAGAGATAGAGAGACAGTACAGCAATAGACAGGCCGCGAAAAACATCGAGTGAAGCGATACGACGTCCTTTTGCTTTGACCTCCACTGGATCCGCTTCTTCCCCTCCGCCTCCTCTCAGTGCAACGTATTCCGCCATTTCCGGTGCTCGCCGCCTTCCGTGCGACAGGAAAGCGCTAGTCATTTACATTCACACCAAACAAAACATTACTATTTGTATGTCTAACATCCTAAGCATATTATTTATACATTTAACACCATAAATTATTAAAATAACAAAAATAACACTTCCCGTCACTCACAAGGTCCCATCCAACTTCCTCTCAGCTCGAGTATCAATCGACTGAGCCGACTTCTACTTGACTTGGTATGAGCTTGCGAGTCAGATTTATCAAGTCAAGAGCTCGAGTTCATGTTTATTAAGGCTCAGCTCGTAGCTCAAGATCAGGCTCGACACATAATAAAATATTAACATATTAAATAAAAAAACTTATGCTTTCCAAATAAAAATAAAAAGAAATTGTATCAATTATTTATCAAAAATCTTATTTTTTTGGGAAGTGATAAAATTATTAAAAAATGTTACTTCAATTATAAGCTCAGTAAAGTTGTATCTCTCAGTATAGATTTATTTTCACACAGCTATCAAGGTTGGCTTTTCACAAAAAAAGCTGCTCGCCACCTTCTTGATCTCTCTCGGTGACTCTTAAAGATTAGCATTGTTTTCTATGTTTTTCCGGCAAGCTTCAGTCATGTTTCTTTTGACCAACTTCAAAATGCTTCGTGTCAAGAGCACTCCAGCTTCATAATAAAATGAGAAGACAAGGGCTCAACACGAGCTCGAGGTCGACTTCGAGCTGTCATTATGACATATGGGGTGAGCTTGAGTTTACCCCTAGTCCTAGCCAAAAGCTTGTGAACTCCATTTTTTGAATCCTAACTTATCTATGAATCAAATCTCAAGGAATAGAGCGTAAGAAATGAAAGAGAGACAGATAGAGGAGTGAACAGCAATTGACAATAAAATATCTTATCTATCTTATAAAATGATCTCCCTATTTATAGGGAAGTTGGTATAATATATTGATATTGTACTTTTGCCTCTACTTTAATAAGGTTGTATAATATATTATAGGAAATTTACATATATGAGCATGTCTCTAGGCAACTCTTTGGCTCGGCTGGCTAGTTTAGTATTGCTTTGGCTCGGTAAGGCCGGTCTGGTCTGCTAGGTTAAGTCAGCATTACCGGTCAGCTAAACTTGATTGGATTTGAATCGACAGGACGGATTCAAACAGTTAGACTTTTTTGATCATTTAATCTAGTCTGGTTGTACACCCTCAATTCCTTGACGATGAGCGCATATTGATGGAGCGAGACTAGACTATCCAGCAGAGGGTGAATCACCATAATTTAATAGGTAGCTCGTTACTCAACGACAAGAGCCTGTAGGATGACTATGAGACTTTGTTGTACTATCAATTATTGATCCCTTATAAGGATCCTCATGGGTGTCCGTAAGATGACTGATGATATTGAGAAACTTGATCTTTCCTCGGGTCGGGTCTACCAAAAGGTAGATTGTTGTCTTCAGTCAGCTTTCTTATGGTGGTTATCTCAAATACTTATAAATATTGTTTTAGTCTGATTGATTCAAATTTGGATTAATTGGTTACCCATTTGTTCTTTTCTTGAATTGGTTGGCATTCAACTTTTGCTCTGTACACCCAAAAATGGTCCGCATAAATTTTTAGATGAATGACAGTCCATATCACATATGAAAAAGCAACACGTCTTCATAAATACGACTAGCTGAAGACCAGCCAACCGAGAGCTAGCAAATCAAATGCAACCGACCAACCAAATGTCAGACGACCAAAGGGTCACCCAAGGCAATTTATGCTAACGACCAATCAAAGTCTAACCCTCAAACAATCACACAAGTATCAATACGAGGCTCTCTCAACAAATCCCCCAAAGATCTCTTAAGTTGATCGATTACCATACTCAAAACTAATTGGCTTCCCAGAGCAAAGACCGACTGATGTCTAGACAAAATATCCAACCGACTTGCCAAAGTGAAGGTCGCCCGGTCTCCATACAAAATGGTTCCAAAATCAGTTATAAATGCAAAAAGCAACACCAAAAGACAATAAGAACTTGTAATGCCCTTATTTAAGCAGGGGCAAGCTTGTAATTTTTCACTTTCTCCCTCTATCATTTATGAATAGGAAGATCATAACATGTGTTACGGGCTTTTGCCTCTCTTGGCTTTTGGACCTCCTTAGGCTCTTCTCTCTAGACCCAGAATGTTGGGAGAACTCTCTCCACTTCTCTCTTATAACTGCCAGTTACAATATATAAAATGAGTCACAAAGTTCGGGAATACCTAAGTTGGCCCCCATAGGACAAGTCTACGTCTGTTTTCTCCTTCTTTCTCCCTCTCTGTTTCTCTCTAATTTTATCTCATGATTTTTACTGTTCTGATCCTTGAGCATGCCTCACAGGTCAAATTTGGATTCAACAATCTAAAAAATATAGTGAGCGTGAAGCATGTTATTAACAAGAAGAAAAGTACCAGTAAGGAAAAATAAATCTCAAAGACACTCCTAACAGAAAGTATGCAAATGAGTTCAAGTAGCAATAGATCTGGAGTCAAAAAGCACGTTTTAGTTATTTTTTAGAGGATTTCACTAGGAGGTGAGTACCACTAAATGGATGGCCGGCTTCCGACAGTTGAAACAAGTCGATCGAGCATATATGCGCAACGCTGGGCCGATTTTAGGTGGCTAGCACCTAACTCAACGAATGAAGGTAATATCATCTTGAAACTTATTTCCGTGTCATGATGTATAAATCCTTTTAATGTTATCTATAGTTTAATTAACACTTGGGGAACTTGAATCCAAGAAGCAACGCCGACAACAATCTTAAAGAGATCTGATCAACAAAATAACCCACAACACTCCCTTATTGCAAGTCTTGTTCTTCAAACTTGAATTGGATAAAGCTCTATAGGTTGTTCCTTATCTAGTAGTGAAAAGCTCTGTGAAGGGTACATTGCAAATCACCCGAGCAACAAGACTTGATGATTTCCTACTCATTAGTGGCAAGCTCTACGAAGAGTGTGAGTCGATCGAGGTGACAATCCAACCAAGCAACCGAGACCTTGAAAAGTTTAAGGTCCAAGTCGGGTCACAATATCAAAAAAGGTGATTCATAGTGATGTCATAGATGTCCAAATGGTAGAAAATAAAAAAAGCGACCAACAATGATGCAAAAGTTGTGATCATCATCCAAACACAAAATTTAAGCCTCGATTTCAAGAATAAAAAAACCTTCTTAAAGATTAATGTGGATAAAGCTCTATAAATGGTTTCCTACCTAATATAGACAAGCTCCACAAAAGGTACAATGCAAATTAGCAAGGAAAAAAGTGTATCACCAACACATGTTTGATGATGTCTCGGTTGCAAAGATGAAGCTCTTCTCAAGTAGGAGAATGGCTCCTCTTCTTCTTCTCTCAAGTGTGAGAGGATGCTCTACCTATGCATGAGATGATTATTTCTTCCTTTCTCTAAAATCGAGTAGAAGCTCTCCTTTCAAAAGGAGACATTTCGTTTTCCCTTACTCTTGAAGTCTTCACCAAGCTCCCTCTCACTCTCTTCCAGAGATTAGTGGTGGAAGAGGAAGAAAACAAATTTTTGGTGTGAAAAATGGAGGGAAGAAGGAAAGAAAAGTTTTCTTCTTGAACTTTTTTTTCAATACCCTTTCCTCTCTTTCAAATCTCTCTCCCAACTTCACTCTTTTTTCAAAAAATGTAATAAAGAAGAAGAAGGAGGAAGCACTCTCAACCCATGGACGCAAGAAAAGTCAGGAAAGCCAGGAAGAAAAAGAACAATGAAAAAGAATAAGAAGTTTTTCTTCACCTAGGCTCTACTCCTCTATAAATATCCCTTTTTTTCCTCTATAGCTCTCTCTCAGTTTTAAAAATTACGGAGAATTCCTCTTAAAATGAGCTCTTCCTCTCTTTCTTTGCTCTGTTGAGATGGAAGTTCCCTTCCCCTCGCTTGCTGCTTCCCATGTTGATTTTCAGCTCGACACAACATGCATATTTGATCTTGTTGCAAGGAAATGGCTATTCTCCTCCTAAATCCTTTTGATCATTTCCAAAAATTACTTAAGGACCATGCAAAAATTTCCCTTGATGCTCCTTTCCATCCGAGCTCAAACAGCATGAGTCATCAAATTCGGCATAAGAAATTGGGTTGGGCACATATGCACCAGAGACTACAGGTGCTAGTCTCTCAGCTTCACAAATTCATTTGGGTCACTTAAGCACCAATGGGGGGAGCATAAGTGTCTCCCTCTCTGTGTGGGAGTGATCCCAAGCTCATCATGACGTATTGGCGCCATTTGGGGGTGCACCCCCTTCACTTTTTATCACACGGTTTATGCATGCTTAGGCACATATATTGAGTGCATAGGTGCCCACAGTACAATGGGACTCTACTTCTTGGGGGCATATGCGTCCATGGGTGGTGCATATGCGCTACTCCATAAGAAAATTTACTTTTTTTTGGTATTTTCTTCCTTTCTTTGTCAGGGCTACCGTGGTGGATTCCTATGGGTCCTCAGACCATCAAAAGACATCGAGGAATGAGATTAGGCTTTCCCACGTCCAAACAGACACTGGGGGTGCATCTATGGGGCAAAAATCTCCACAAAAAAATTCAAATTTTCAACTAGGTACTCGTAGCAAAATTTGATCGACCCAAACACTACAGAAAGTCATGCATCACTCAAATATGGCTTCATAGATCAAAATGAACAATATGGAGGAGTCTATTTGGGTATTTTGGTACCGACAAGCGTCCTAAACCCTTTGACGAGTAGATATGTCTGAAATTTGATTTTTTTTAAAAAATGTGTGTGGGAGACTTTGATGACTCCCTTTGGCCACTCTCAAGCTCTAAATGTAAGGGATCGAACACCAAGATAGACATTAAACATGTCTCATGTTGGAATTAACGCCACCTCATGGTGAGTTCTCCCAGGTGGGGCTAAATCGACACCAATCCTAGTTCTGTGCTCTAGGCACATAGCAGATGGTCCAAAAGGATGTCCTAGGCTACGGGAAGCTGTAAATAGTATTGTAGCACTTGACCAGATACCGACACATATGAAATCCAAACGTGAT